AACACTTCCAAATGTATTTTGAGGATTTTTAGTACCAAAAATTGAATATCTCAATTAAATTTCATACCAAAAATATTACACCCACTTTATATCATAAATTGTTAAATCAATTTCCCGAAATAGTAAATATATTTTTTGGAAGTTAAATAGTTACTATTTTAATAGTAATCAAACTTTTTTTATATATATAGGGTGATATAATCGAAATTCTTATGGAGAAACTTATCAATATATTAAACAGTTAGAAACTTTAAAAAAAAAAAATGAGTTATCTCTCCGTTTACTTTATTTGAAATTCTGAGTTATATTTTTAAATACATTATTATTTAATTTACTACATGCAAATATTTATTATTAATAATCTAAGTGATAAATATCATTGATTTATCTCTTTAATAAATATTTATTATTTATTTTTTTCCTTACATGATGTTTGTAATATTTTTAGGCATGTGGTAACCGAGGTACCCGACTCGGGTCGTTCTCAAAAGAAGGTTGTTCGGAGCTTCGTTCACTACCTAGTCGTCAAAATCACACAACCGAAAAGGTCCTAAACATGCTACTCGCTTGAAGGGATGAATTTAAGCTAAACTAATCTACGAAATTGAGGGCAATTGACAGCAATCAACAAAGCAAGAGAAAGCACGCAAGAAAATGAGAGAAATGAAGGGGGAAAGAGAGATTTTGGTTTGCCGGAGTCTCCATGATCAATCACACGCAAATAACCAAACATTGTCATGCTAGCTAAAACCCTAGGAAGCTAAACCCAACTCTAGCACAAGACGAGCGAGCATTCAACTCCTAATCATACTTAGTCAAGCATTCACAATCTAAAGATTCAATCTTTTCCTCCAAGCAACACAAGCACAATATCAATTTTTACAAAAAACAAACAAAGATATACAAAGTAATGAGGCTTAAGACTAAGTACCCACTCTTACACGCACTTGGAAGGAGAAATGGAGTCAAAAGCTCGAAACATTACTCAAAACAATGTCGCCGGAAATTCATCGGAAAACTTGATTCATATGCTCCAAACCAAAATATAAAAAAGGAAAAAAAAATAGAGAGGATTTTCCCAACTTAAAAGTTGGGAAATGAGGGTTGTGTTCAAAAATACAAAGCATAATGTCTACTTATAGC